AAGATTTAGGACAGTCAGAGTCAATAGAGGAAAAGGGAAAAGAAGCATCTTAATGGTATCAAACCTGGCATTATACTTAGGTGGAAGGGACATGGCTGCTGAAAGGAAAAAAAGCATGCTAAAAGTAGGGTAGCAGAGTACTGAAAGAAAAGGCAATTATTTAATACTTTTTTTCTAATCCAACTTGAGTTTTGCCCCAGGCCCCCAAGAAGGTGTCTGTTAGTGATGCCAACTGAAAGGACACCTGTCATGAATGTGAAATGCTGCAGATGGCAAGGAATGGCAAATCTAGTCAATGAATAAGGAGCTTTGCTATGCTTTGTGTGCTTTTGGCTTCAAGTCTTTGGGAAATAAAAATGATTTCTGCAAAGCTGGCTTGGGACAAGTGGTACCCTGTGTAGGAATTTATCTTTCAATGGATTTAAAATCCTTACCTTTATTTAGTCTTTAACTCTTTTAGTTTCTATATAACTTAATTCTTTAATGGATTTTTTTGAAATAAAATTTTTTTACTTTCATACTTTTTTGACTGCTCTATTAGTTTTTTAAGTTTTTTTTTTTAAGACTACAGTAATGGCTAAAGCCCATCTTTCTCTATCTCTCATTATTTTTCTATAACTAAAACAATGTCAAATGCTGTAGAATATAGATTATGAATTTTTATTTCATACAAGAGCCATTCTTATATTTATCTCAAATGTTATTCTTCCCAGTTGGTGTTAACATGGAGAGATATGAATAACCAAAATTTTCATGTTGTTCAAATCCAATTTCAAATTTATTGTTAGGTATTTTAAGTTTCTTCTCCACCTTTATTCAGGTGATGCAGGTGTTCAAATATAGCAACCTTCTTCCATCACCTGCTGTGTAAATCTTAGTTTGCCACACAATATCTCCTCACTTTCCGGAAAACAATTGCTACAATATTGATGACATAATTAGAGCTGTAACTTCTAATAAACAGCTTTAACCTGTATTAGGCATGCATAGGTAGGGTTCTCAAAGGGCTGGACATCATTGGGTTCATTGAAAAAGCCTGGTCATTTTAGTGTAAAACATGTAAGACATTGTTCTTCCTCTTTGCTAAGTAAAGATCTGTATTAATATTATACATATCCACTCCACTCTATGGTTTGCTTTTAACTTCTCCCTTTCTCTGGGAAATTTCTGATCACAGTGACATGGATTTCATAATATAACTTGAGATAAAAATGTCTGGTGCAGTCTAAAGCATCTTATTGTTATGTCATGATTCCCAATGAAGGAATTTGGGGGTCTTATAAAGACTGGATAAAAAGATATTTAGATATTTTCCTACTTTAATTAATATTTTTGAGCCTTTTCTCTCTTTTCCCTATAATAATAATTTGGTATTATTTAGTACTATATACTGAAAAATGTTAGTAGTGCAAATTGTGTGAATACTTTATTATTATTATGTAACTTCTTGCCTATAATTATCGAAGTAGAAATTAAACCATTTTTTTTTAGTTAAGTTGCATTTAAATCAGCATATTTCACAGAAGCTATTTATTTAACTTAAGGAATCAATAGAGAATGCTTTCGTTAGTGCAATATGAAAAAAATTATTAAAGAGTAAAAAACCTACGATTTTTAGAGGAAATCATTATTATTACCTATATTTCATTATGAGGTTAATAATGAAACCCTAGGTAAACTGACAGGAACACCATGGTGGATATTCTGAAGGGCACTCTTCCCAAAGCTGAGTGCACACTAACCTGGTCCACATAAATTAGAGAATGGGAGCACTTAGCCAAGATACCCTACTGCCGTCAAGCAACCAGGAACAGCAGCAAGCAGTGGCAGTCCCTGTAAAGGATGGCATTAATCAAAACTCAGAAAACAAACAATGTTAGACACTGGGTACAGAGAACTTCAGGTTCCTCATCATTGTTTGGTGATTCATGTTCCTGTATACTTGGTGGTATCATGGAACCATGAGGCTTTCAGTTCTCGGTTATTATTAATCTCTCAGATTAAAAACAATGATACATCAGAATAAGCTCTGAAATATTTGCAATTTCAAAAATAGAAATATTTTAGGAACATAACTTGATTATATTTTAACCAAGCATATTTATAATTATTCATCTGTATGCTGACCAGTTCCTGTCAAAATGGAAGACTGAGCTGGTATGAAAATTTAGCCTCCCATATAAATGCAGAAATGCTTGGTAAAACATAACTAATCCCTGGATGCCATAAATCAAGTGGGACTTCCAAGTTTGTATTAGTCCATTTTCACACTATAAAGAACTACCTGAGACTGGGTAGTTTATAAAGAAAAGAGATATAATTGACTCACAGTTCTGCATGTCCAGGGAAGCCTCAGGAAACTTAAAATCATGGAGGAAAGTGAAGGGGAAGCAAGGACTTTCTTCACATGGAAGCAGGATAGAGAGGTGTAGGCAAAGGGTAACTGGTCCAGAACCTGGACAACTCCTAGGACCCCCATGAGGGCAAATGTACTACAGGGATGGTTTCCCAACCAGGGCTTCTTGAATATCTAAAGAAATCCAAATTGCCAAAATTACTCAAAATAGAAAATTTAAAAACACACAAAATAACTAAAGAACATCATAAGGGAAATACATGAGGGAGAATCAGCAAATACAAGCAACACGGTATTTAACAAGGGGTGACTATAACAACTGAAATATGTTAAACATTATAATGAGTTATAGATATCATAAGACAAGATTTGAAAAATAAGTAGACCTAGAAGTGAAGAGTCAATTATTAAGGTATTTACTTCAATTACCATGTTAAACATACTAATATGCATTTAAAGAAAAATAAGCTAATTGACAGGCTTAGAGCAAAAACCATCCAGAATACGTTATAAAGAGGTAAAAATATAAAGACGAGTTTGAGATAAATGGGAGAGGATTTGAGAGGGTCCAAAATACAGTCATGCTTCACTTAACTATGGGGAGACAGTCTGAGAAACACATCACTAGGTGATTCATCATTATGTAAGCATTAAAGTGTATATACATGAACCTAGATGGTATAGCCCACTACATTGCTGCTCGGCTACAAGCCTATGTAACATGTTACTGTATTGAATACTGTAGGCAATTGTAACACAATGATATTTAGGTGTCTGAACATAGAAAAGGCACAGTAAAAGTACATTGTAAATGATAAAAAGTGGTATATCTGTATCGCACACTTCCCAAGAATGGAGCTTGAAGGACTGGAGATTTCTCTGGGTGAATCATTGAGTGAGTGATGAGTGAATGTGAAGAACTAAGGATATTATTGTACACTACTGCAGACTTTTGGCTACATTAAGTTTGTATTTTTTTTCTTTCTTCAACAATAAATTAACCTTAGTGTATGGTAGCTTTTTTTATTTTGTACGTTTTTTAATTTTGAAAATTTTTTGACTCTTCTAGGAAGATGTAGCTTGAAACACAAATGCATTATACAACTGTACAAAAATATTTTTTACACCATTATCCTATAAGTTTTTTCTATTTCAGGTTTTTATTTTTTATTTATTATTTATTATAAATAAAAACTCGTTAAGCTTTTTTTTTTTTATTAAACACTAAGACACAAACACATTAGTTTAGGCCTACATATAGTCAAGATCATTAAGACATTAGTGGATGACAGGAATGTTTTAGCTCCGTTATAATCTTATGGGAACCCTGTCATATATTTGGTTCATCATCAACTGAAACATCATTGTGTGGCACATTAATATATATTTAAAAGAAGCTCAATAATAAGAGATTAGATATATTGGGAGATTGGGAGAAAAGCAGCATTTGAAGAGATAATCATGTAGGATTTTTCAGAACAGATGCATACTCAGAATAAAGGAACATACCAAGTCCTGCCCCCCTCGCCAAAAAAAAAAAAAAAAAACAAAAACAATAAAAAGAAATCTACCCTGAGGCACATCATAGTGAAATTATAGAATGTCATGGAGATAAACTTTCAATGTTAACCAAATTTGAAGACAGATGATCCTCCAAGTTATGACATTTAGGCCACCACCAACAAAAGCCAGAGTCTGTGGGATAGCATCTGCAAAAGACAGAAATGCTATTACCCTGGAATTCTGTGTCTAGTTGAAGTCTTACTGAAGAATGAGAACACGATAAAAACACTCAGACAACATCCAAGACAGTAAGGTCTGAAAAACTACCAAAACCTTTACTTTAGTATGAAGGAAACTAGGGAGCAGGCAGAAATGGCAAGTTACTAATCAACATGAAGCTTCAGTTAAACAAGATGAATAAGTTCTAGAGATCTGCCATACAACATTGCACCTATAGCCAACAATGCCGTGTTGTGCACTGACAAATGTATTCAAAGTATAGATTTCATGTTAAATGTTGTTATGACAATGAGATAAAATTTTAATAAATGAGAGAAACTAAATCCAGATGAAAGGGTTGAAATACAGGAGCCAATGACAAAGAAACAATATTAATCTGCTCTTTAATTTAAACAATTCTAAAAACCAAGTCAGTTTTATTCTCAGATCATAAAAGCTTTGAGATACGTTTATTTTTATAAAACAATACTGTAAGGAAATATCTGTCATTTCAGTTTGCTTTAAATAAATAGAAATAGCAACAATGCTGGCATGTTTGATTAAAATGGGAAGTATACACGGAATGAAATGTTATGTAATGTTGCATAATTTTTGATGTCATGTTATAATGCTTATCTTAAGAAAATGAGAAGGAAAAGCAGCATGTAAAACATCATATTTACTATTATGTGGGCCAAATAAAAATACATAGGAAAAATGTTGCATGACAATTGACCAAAAATATTAAAAATTATGTCTTTGGTGGCATACTGATACTTTTCCTTTTTGTTTATACTTTTCAGAAGCCTATCATGGACATATACTTCTTTAATAATAAACTTCGAAATACTTAAACAAATAAATATTTTATTTTAATAAATTATGAGTTTCATTAAATAAACACCATGTTTATGCTTTGCAGGCAAATCTCTCCTCACCATCTTCTACAGTATCTGAGAGTCAACTGGTATGTATCTTCTAAGTCACAGATCTACTGCTCTAAATTCTGATCTCTCAAGAGAGCATTATTTGAGTAAAAGTGAAAAAAAAATACATTGACTACATATATTTTTATTCACTTACTTGTCTAATAAAATTTTATTGATACTTTTCTAAAGCTCCATGGTGATTGTTTTGCAGGTGACAAACATACATAAAACCATATATAGACCCTACTTGCCAGTAACTTACATCCAAGTAGCGGCATTAGAAGAGATGGAGTGAGGTCAGATGAAAGATACCATTGGAATTTAGAGAAGAGTTCACTCTTTAAAGGAAGAGACCCAAAAAGAGTTTAAGGAGAAGGTCATGATTGAGTAGGATAGTTTTTGGATTTGAGGAAATAAGAAATAGATATTTCACCCAGGATAATCAACACACAAATGGTGTAGATTAGTGCTGAGCAATAGAAATACAACATGAATGATAAATGCAAGCCACATATGTAATTTTAAAATTTCTAGTAGCCGCATTTAAATAGTAAAATAGAACAGGTAATGTTAATTTCCACAAAATACTTTATTTAATGCTATATAAATATTATCATTGCAATGGATAAGCAGTATAAAAACTGAGATGGTTTTACATTCCTTTTTGGGGGAAAAGTCTTTGAACTACTGCATATTCCATATTTGTAGCAAATCTCATTTCTGCTTAATCACAAGGGCTCAACAGTGGGATTGGTGACTACATTTGGCAGCACAGACCCAGACTCTAGAATGATTTTATAAAATGTGATTTAGTGAAACTACTCATCATGAATGTAATATAAAAATTTGTCTATAAAATTTGATTAAATAGGAAAATTATTTTCTCTTATAGCATTTTGTATTTCTTATTCTCACAGTGGTTAGCAAATTGAAGTCCTGAAATAAGTTTCCCAGATGACACTGGTCAAAGATTTTCTTAATATCTTTCAATGTTTATTGTTAAAATTGTAAATTCCTGAATGATAGATATCTTCAATAAAATTAATGGAAATTTCTAGTAGAATGGGTTTGAAACATTAACTCATTTTTTTCTTTTAAAGAAATTGTTTTGGTATCCTATAGCCACAGCCAACAAATCTTCTTGAAATTATCATCCCAATAAAAATAATTATATTATTTGTAATACTGAGAAATCATAAAAAGCATTGTTTGACTTTGAAAATAGCTTGATTCAATCGATCCACTTGTCTATACTGGTGTTTATATATATATACTTTGTATATTTGGGGTACGTTTGTGTGTGTGTGTGTGTGATTTTAATGTCAATTGGTTTCGAACAGTGGGGGTCAATATAGTATACCTGAAAGAATGCTGGGATGAGTATCAGAAGGCCTACTTTATACTTCTTGCTCTGACATTAACTAATGGGCGGACAGTGGGTAAGTCACAAATCTTGGAGTCTGGATCTCAATTTCCTAATTGAACAATGAGAGCATTCTATTGTGTACTTTCCAAGCTCTTCCAGGGCTGTGAATCGATGGTTACTAACACAGTGAAGATGAAGAAGTTGCCATGGAAACAAGCACTGCAGTAGCATAATGAAGTTGAATGACTTTCCACTTTAGATATGGAAATATTACTATAATTATTTTAATATTTAAAATGATATATTTATTTAGAGTAATATATGCAAATCAAGAATGTTTTAAACATTCTCATATGTAGTTTCACTCAGCAGTTTATAAAATAGAGATTTTAGATGTCGGTAGACTATATATATGTGTAGGTATGTATTTTATATATACATGTAAATTCTTGATTTCATATTTTAAGAAATTATTTCAAAGAGGCAAATATATGTATAGATACATTAAAAATAATTTTATAAAATGAGATATAGTAAAACAACTCATCGTGAATGTAATAAAAAACACTTATCTTTTGCCCAATAAAACAATCCTGTGTTTGTGTTCTCTAGGGGAAAAAACTACAAAGCATTGCTTTGAAAAACTTTTATAATAATTTATTTGCATTTACTTAAGACCTTTTCTTTAAGGAGTTCAAGACATTTCTTAACCAAGTTTTAAATTAAGTTTTAATCTCAAAATGCCCTTGAGATATAGGTAGGTTTGTGAAAGGATTATTATTAAACAAGCATATCACATAAAATAATGAACATCTCTTGTACTGATATAATTATTTCAATCACTTTGGTTTTTATTTCATGATGTTAACCCTGTGTTTATATTAATACTACTTAAGAGTGAAATAAATCAACGGAAAATGATTGTATGGAAGACATGTTATAGGGCATGTACTTCACTAATGATTTAGAATATTTTTACTCTGAAGTAACATTTATAAAGTTATAATTTTTTCATTTTTATGAATGAATTTTCAATATTTGCCATCATGAGCTCTTTAAGTTCTGAATATGAGTAAATAAGAATGCCTTTGATAAACAAAACTATGAGATCTATATAATTACATTTTTATACATGTATGTGTTTATAATATACATATACATATAGATGACAGGTAATTCTGATTGTATGTGTATATACACCTTTGTTTATATGAGTATATATGTATGTAGGCATAACACATAAAAACACAGATACTGGAAATATATGATTTTTATAGTTAAATTATATAAAAAATATGTTTTGTGTAAAATAGTAAATATATAAAATTATTTCTCCTATTTTAGGAGGCAAATGTAATAAATGTGTTGAATAGAAAATATTTGACAAATTGCTATGGTACTACAAGCTTAATACAAATCTCAAATTGTTTTTGAGATTTGACTTTTTTAAAGATATATCATTTTTTCATGCTTTTAAGTTTTTAACGTGGCTTATCTGTTTGCTTGCTTTTGTTGCAAGTGTGCCAATTCAGAATTGAAAGGGAAAAAGAAATGGAACCATGACCCTTACTCTTAAAATGTTTCCATTCTTTACTTTGGAAGCCAAATGATTTAGAGTTGGGTGTGGGAGACTGTTTTAGAGGCCCATGTGAAGCTAGTTCACCAATCTTAGTTGCTTTTCTTCTATTAAATAGCATTGCAGTAGAACAGAACTGGAAATGAACTTAGAGATGAAAATATTGGAAACTCCCACCTATTCACTGGAGATTGGAATAACTACCCTGTAAACCTGAAGGGATTATTGTAAGGCTCACATGTCATAAAATATGGAGTGGTCAGTATATGCCTATAGACAGGAAGATGTTGTTTTTGCACATAAAAATCTGTGAATGATGAAGAGAATGTGAGCAGCCATTTTTACAAAGAAACAGAAGCTTATGGAGTTAAATAGATTATTTAGGATCACCAGCATTAGTGTTCATCCTTGCTTTGTGTAGGCTTCGGAAGGAATCATTATTATTGATTTTAGATAATTCAAGGAAAATAAGAAAAGATTAATTAAGGAGTTTGGAAATGGGGGCCTCTATGGAAGCATTATGTTCACTGGGTACCTCCTTTGTCTGGCTCTGCCTGGTATTTGTGCACTGCCTGGAAAATGTGAGTACTTACTGAAGAGGAGACTGGGTAGGGTCAGTTAGAGTACTGAAGTTTCGCAGCTGTGAATAGTGCTTCCTGTAGTATATTAAAAGGAGCAAGAGGAAAGAAAGGAAAGATCTAGGATCTAGGTTAAACCTTCACAAAACTTTCCTAGCTGTTGAGCTGAATTATCACAAAGATCTTAACAAAGATGAGCGGGTTCTTTTTCTCTACATAAGGTAACACACAAGTTAGGCTCCACAAGTTGGGTAAATCCTGGTTTTCTTTGGCAGTAGGGTAGCCTAGTTTAGATGACATTTACCTTTTGCTTTTGAAATTTCATGCCCTTACAAAATGTTCACTGTTGTCCAGGATGGAATACTTAATCTAGAGAGCACAAAACAATAGATTAAAAAAAAAAGTCACATGGCTATATACAGGTAAAAGCAAGATGCTATTTACTGGAACACTATAAAGAAGAGTCCTTCAACTTGCAAATACTTTGTTCCTAGTTCTGAGTGCCAGCTGATGCGTCCAGTTTTAGTGGTGCATGACTCATCTTTCTGAAGGCCTTAAGGTCTCTGTCATTTAGAAAATGCAGCCCTGAAAGCTTTTGTGTAGAACCAATGTCTCCTTCAAGCTCAAGGGCAATTTCTCTTTGACCACTTTTTCCTTGACATAACATATTTAAGTGGCACAGCATTTATCAGGTACGCCTCCTCAGGTTTGAGTCATGCTACTGTCTTTTATTTAACCATTGAAATATTTCAATCTAGCCAATCTGTATTGTGTATATTCCATGAAATGCTTCTTGAGCCATGAGATATGGCCTTTAATTATGAGGTCTTATGTATGTTTATTTTTATACAAGTATTATAATCATTATAAAACATTTTTTTGGAAAAACACATTAAGTAGGTACTTTCGTGAATAGCCTAGATCATTTAGAATCAACGTGTCATATTTATAAGTACAAAGCATATGTTCTATTTTTCCTTTCAAATTTATTTTATGCTGCTTTTTATTTACCAAGTTTTATCATGCATGTTATCACATTAGGTTCTCACAATCACCTTTGAGCTAGTATGGCAGGAATTGTTATTTCCATAATTCTGATGAAAAACGGAAGTTTAAATATCTAGAATGCTGTGTCAGTAGTCCCTTGGTAATAAGTGGTATAAAAATCTCTCTTGTTTTTTCCAATCTTGACAGCTTTACCCTCTGCCATAGTGTTTTGAGATTGAAGATATTTGTTTGAGGGGAAAACGTAGTTTAAGTGTTTGCTTCAACTATATTATAATGTTTGTTTTAAAAAAGAATTAGGGCCTATAAGCATGTATTATCTGAATGAGTAAATCAGGTAAATAATTTAGAGAATATTGCTTTTGTCCACAGTCTTTCTGGGTAGAATGCTGTCGAGTTTGCAAACAACCATGGCACTGTCACAAACACTTTGAGCCCATCAAATTAATAGAATTTCCAGCCAGAATCACAGAATTTGCTGTATGTTGTTTTGTTTCTTTCTTGCAGTTTTGT